CAGCCTGTGAAACACATAGATCTACTCTGCATCGGCTGAGTAAAATCAGTTACTAAATACTAATGAGACCATGTGCCTTGTTTGACTAAGATGGAAGTATTTTATTGAGCTAATCCTTCTGTAATTTGATTTAGAGACGTGCAAACTACTCAGATCATAATCCAAACCACCCCATCAAGTGTTTGTATTTAAAGCTAGATGTCAGTGATAGAAAATTAGGACCTCTAGCAATTTCCACATTTGTTTATTCCCAATATGTAGCACTGTCTTTAGAGAAAAATGGTAAAACTATCAACTGTATTAAATTATTGTTAATACAATTTTCTGTTGAATTGGAGTGTTGGCTTCCAAAACAGAAAGCAGGAATTCTCAAAGATGTCCTATATTTGTTTTCTCCAGTTGTTAGTGTTGTCTATGCAACATGTTATTATGATATATTTTGTAGCTCCCTAGACACTCAGCTTTCAGGTAAGGTAAAAAAAGGAGTCTAAAGCTTGAGTGTAAATCTTAAAAGAAAACATATAGCACACAAATAATCACACTTGTTCAGTGCCTGAGCACAGCTTGTTTGCTATCTTAGCAACTGGTAGGTATTTAAAAAAAATAATCCTTCAACAGTGAAATCATAATGTGAAGTTTGGTCATGGAAATGACTGTGATGTCATAAATCCAGCATTGCAATTCACTGCAGGATCTGGCATGTAGACAACACAATCCATTTTGGTTTTGAATAGTATTATTCATATGAAAAACATGCAGGTCATTCTCCAGCAAGTTTTAGTTTATATATGTATCTGGGAGGAGGCTGCTTGTCCTGTCACGTCCTCAGGCATAAATCAGAGACATCTTTATGGAAATCACTAAAATTACAGTACTCGGGAGAAAAATTGGCATGTGATGATTATCAAATCCTATAAAATTCACAACGTGTAGGAATAATTCTCTCTGAGGTTGGCTGAAGGGGGAGTAAGATACTATAGCCAATGTTCCGCAGACTGAACAAGGGGAAATTGAAATACAAATTATAGAAAATGCACATCTCCTACTTGTATCACATGTTCATACGTGAGGGCAGCCTCTGGTAAAGGTCTAGAAGCTATCAATAAAAACAGTTTTATCTGATATGGTCAGAAATATGCTGTTTTCCACAATACAAAAGATCCTCCTTGGAAGAACAACATCAGATACCTTTCTGATTTTGGATGATGCATTATTTTTGCATTTATCACCATTGCAATATGCACTCTGCATGCGGCTCATCACTCTAGGAGCAGGTTGTGTGTCCAATAGGGTATTTCTATCCTGAGACACTCAGTGGAGAACACCAGAGCTTGGCATATCTCAAGGTGAATCCAAGAGTACTGCAAAGTTCTTCTACCATGGCAACAGGATTAGCTCAAGTGTGGGAGTTAGCTCCTCATCCTCAGCTTAAATCAATACCATTTCCTACTTAGTGCAGTGAGCTACTAAACTTGACCATGTATCTTGAAAAAGAAAGCAAAGCAAAGAAAAAATACCCCATCAGGAACACTGTGTCTTTGGTTATACAAGAAAATGGATGCCCTCAGCCTGCCTTGGTTTTGCTTCACTAAATTTTCCAGTTGCTGCCATGGGGTTTGGATCAAGCCATTTGATTTACTGCCTTCTTCCCCAGCCATGCCAGCCCGTTGCTGAGATGATAACACTTTGTGTCCCCACTCTTGAGGATGGAAACAAGAGGTAAAGCATGGATGCCAACTAACCTGCCTGCCTGATGGGTCCGCTGTCCATGCTGCCACCAAAGCCTGGCTTGTCACAGTATGGGGGGGCCCAGTCAGCCTCACAGTGACAGTTCTTTTTATTGTTGCAGACCTGCAAAGCAAGACGAGTGGCTGAGCATGAAAAGGATGACCCTATACATCTGAGAGCAGCTGATAAGGCCTCCTAATCAGATCATGACACTCTGAAAGACATAAAGCTTACAGAAGAAAAGAGAGGTAGCAGTATCTGGCTATCTGCACAAGGAAGGTGGCACAGAGCAAGACACCACGGAGTAACAGGGACCCTAAAAAAAGCAGGATTTATTTGGCAGGTAAGTGTTTCAGTTGCACCAGCTGACAACTACAATAATATAAGGATAACTGCACAGCTCTTAAGTCTTAGTCGCTCTTTGCCTCCAGCAGCAACAGTATCTGCTTTCTAACTTCTGTTCCTTCTGCCTTCACAGGAACAAGAGTCTCTCTACACCATTAGGGCTGTAAAGCTTTGTCAGCCCACTCCAACACTCCTATCTATCAAGGGCTTGCACTAGGCTGCATACTGATTTTTCCACTGCTCAGATCCCCCAGCTCCAAGGTGAACCCGTTGCTGAAAGGATGTGTGAAACTAGAGTCAGGAAACCCTCCCTTTGATATCACACCTACACCCTCTAGAAAGAGAGAGTCCTGGGTGTTCTGGTGGTTTTAATCTGAGTTCAGGAACAGCGAGCAAGATCTGGTTTAATAAATGCTTCCTGCAGAACAAGAGAGCTCCAAAGGTCTGGAGTGCATCGTTCACATCAACCTGTTCACTCTGCACAGAGCAGCTGGAGCTGGTGCACTCAGGAGCTCCCACAGTGCCAAACACCCATCAAAAGAAGGGCTGCTTTTTATTTCTTTTTGCTACCACCCAAGCAGTGGCTATGTGACTAAGACAGAAGCTAGAGCTCCGTGCTGTATCCTCAAAACACAGGAGATGAACGGGCACAGGGTGGAGGTGGCACAGTCACATGTATCTCACAGAACATTAGGGGCTGGAAGGGACCTCTGGAGACCATCTAGTCCAACACCAAGTTGATTTTTAAATGAAGTTTTTGGGCTTAGGGTTAGTTGTCAATATGGTTCTAAATTCAGTGCTGAAAATGATTGTCACTGATCTACCAGCACTATGGAGAAACCACAAAAGGGATCAATAAATGGGTTTCTCAGCAAGACACTAGTTAGTTCACAGGAACTTGCAAATGGGCATTTTTTGGCAAGGTCAGCTGGTGGCCTTTCAGAAAGACTGCAGTCTGTGTGTGCAGAGTATTAGAATATCCTCCACACAGCTTAGACTGGCTGTGGTCATGTACAATGAAAAAAAAATATTAATTTTCAAAGACAGCACGATAATTAAAAATATTGTTCATTAAGCATTATTTTTAAAATTAAAGCACTGCAGGTGTTCCCATCTACAATTCCACGAGGTCATTTTTTCCTGCTCAGGGGTCACCAGAGGTTCTCCATCACAGGGACATAAAGATGTTAGTCTAAGCTGGTGCTTGTTCCAGCCCAATGATAACATGCAGCAGCATCAACACTGCTCAGTTTTCCAAGTGTGGGATGATAAAACAGGTTAAAGCAAATTAAAAGCCTTCTCAGGAGAGGACAGAGAATTTCCTACATCTCTTCCAACGTGGTTGCCAGAGCTTTTCACAGAAACAAGGAGATCAGTGGCAAATCAAGGTTAATAAAGCATGGCTGGACATAATTAACATTTTCATAATATAAACTGGGTTGCAAAACACTTTGATATTATTAACTGCTATCAGATTTTTCATCCCGCACCACTTTCGTCCCATGAAACTCATCAATATGGTTTCACTTTATTTTAATACTTTTGGAAATATTTCTCCATTTGACTCTCAATTGAAATGCATATTTTAACTACTCTGCTCTCCACTGAGAAACAATATTTTTTGAAATGTTAATGGGAATCCTTCATAAAGGAAGGTTAGACTTAAAATTGCTTTGAAGATGACAAAATTCTTATTTTTTTTTTTTTATTCACAGACTCTTAATTAAGAGCAAGATAATTACTGCTTGATAAATATTTCTTTGTTAAAAATAATTTCATTTCTTGCAGTTCATATAAGGGCCACTGAAAATGGAAACACATAATGAAAAAGTCTTGCAGTGACTTTGACTGATATATTACAAATGATTGTAGATCCCAAAGCTATTACACAAAATGATTTCTTGTCCAGTGTTAATTGACTGATTGGAAAAGAAGTGTTCCTATAATGCTTACTCCACGTCCATGGCATTTTGTTGCACATTTCTGTACACCAAAAACACTGGTGTTCTGGCACCGGCGATTGAGGCAAATCTGCAAAATAAGAGAGAAGGAGTTTTTAGAGGGGCAGAACTCCTGGTGCTCACAAGGTATCATGTCCCTCTCTGTATCTCTGCTCATCCATCAATGCTTCTTCCAAGCAGTTAAAGATTTCCCAACACACAGGCTCTGTTGACAACATTATATTGACAAAAAGATAAGGACACCTCAATTAGATGTCTTCTTCTTCTTATCATGCCTTTGTAAGTCTTTTAGGTCCAAATCTGTGCAAGTTAAACTCCCCTCTTGATCAGCATCCTGGCCAATACTGAATTTCCAACACAGTTCATGTTTGGTCAGTGTGCTGAGCTTGTGTAAATAAACACTCACAGTTTCACTGAAGTGGAACTCGTGGTGAGCTGCTGGGGCTGGAGGGGGTTTGAAGGCAATTTAAACCCCAGTCATGTGCATTTTTTCAGGACTAGGAATGCACTGAGCAGGATTCTTCCATGTACCCCATCTGGCTGCATCCATGTCTTCACAGCAGCTGAGGATTCCTCAAGGAAAGGTTCAGGTCCTCTCGTGACTTAAATTAGCATAGTTCTGTTTATCTCAACAATGCAACACTTTTTTCCTCCTAGTACAGAACTTGGACCCAGAGCAGCTTAAATATTTAACTGTTTTTGTTGATATATATGGGCTCATCATTTTTATTCTTCAAAACTAAGATCTTTCTAAGAGTTTTCCCAAGCTAAACTTTTTTTTTTTGGTGTTAAATATAAATCAACCATATTTACAGTGTAAAAATGATCTTATAGGGAATGGAAGGAAACAAATAACATATGCAAAGTAATAAAATTCATTTTTTTCTTTGTTTTCCAGTTTGTTTTAGCTGAAAACTGAAGTAAAACAAGATTAGCACCATCTAATAATACCATCAAACAATCAGGTGACTGATGAAGATGTCAGTAATGAGGAGTTATCCTACTTAAAACTGAAAAAATATGGAATTAGGACTGGAAGAACTGTTACTATGCTATGCTGACCAGAAAAAAATAGAAAAAAAAAAATCACAGCACAATTTCACTCATGTTTAACTGCAGTTCAGCTCAGTAGTACTAAAAGTCAGTCACAATAATTAGCATTAAGCAGGGAATAGTGTTGAAGAAGACGACAGGGATGCTTAATCAGGGCACTTATGCCCCGGGGAGAAGGAAAAATGGAAAGGAAATTAGAGTGAATTGGCATCAACATGCGTGCATGTAGAGAATATGGTCTGATTACAGCAGTATTCACAATTCAAGTATTCACAGTGCAGCAGCACACAGAATTCTGATCACAGGAAAATGGCTGCATTTCAAATTGTGTATCTTCGGCTTAGAAAACTCAAGAATATTTAAATTCATATTCTTAATCCATAATACAAACGCACTAATGTCCTCAAAGTAAAACATACAATTTCATAAGTATTAGCCTGTGTATTCTATAGTGGGTATGTATATGATTAGATAGATTAGAAAGATTAAATACTCATTAGTAAAACATAATAGGGTCTTTCCCAGCATTGAATTTTCTTTGAAAAGACATTTTATAACAGATTGACTTAGAAATGTTTCAAGGGTTGTTTCCCTGTACCAGAACAGTAGTTTCACTAGAGATGTGTTTTAAACCTGTTCCAAATGCAGTATGATAATCCAGAATAATTCAAAAACATTCAGAAGGTCAGCAGCTTACTTGAATTTACCACAAATTATCAAAACACACTTTTTTGTTGTTGTTGTTTGTGCAAGTAATCCACGGAGGATCTGGAAACCTTCACTTCAATCGTTCTTGGACTCCTTTCCATTCCTCCCCCTCTGTAAACTCATGGCAGTCTCCCATCTTTCTCTGCTCTTTTTCTCACAAAAGAACTAAGAATGAGACAGCCATGTGAAACCTGGACTACATTCACATTGGATAATCACTGAATTGGAGAGTTCTTTAGGTTGGAAACGTCCTTTCAGATCATCAAGTCCAAACATTAACCTAAAATATGATTGCAAAAAATCAGTTTTGGTGGCTGAACATCAGTGAGTTTCTATTTTTCTAATAATGCAGAGAGAGCTTTTCCTGCAAGAAAAAAAGGGGCAAGAGGGAAGCCATAATCAGCAACTATAATTTTGAAGCCTAAAGTGAAGTTAATGACAATTTTGCAATGGGGACACTGGGGAAGTGAACACACTGAAGTGCATTAACAAGCCTGTAACGTATTTTTCTGCACTTATTTTGCAGAAAACCTCTCAACATGGACAAATACTTGGAACTGTCCTCACAAAAATCAGTGAAGCAACTTGCATTGCATTTGCAAAACTGTAATCCAGAGCAGTGGCCAGAAGGAGAAAGGAGTAAAAATCTGACTCTGTGAGCACGAGAAACAATTCTTTTGTGGAAAAAGAAAATCATCCCAAAGCAAAAAACCAGTTGGATAAGCACAAAATACTTGGCAGCATGCAGCTAGTGATGTTCTCCTTGTTTGAGAGTATTTCAGAGCCTTACTTTTCCATCTTCACACTTGGTTCCTGAGAGCACGAGACCAGGATCAGGCATGTCATCACCCAAATACACGTGGGTGCCACGGCACAGAATCTTGCCACCTTCCTGAAGTGGGATGTTGGTTTCGATGGAGACAGCATTGGTACCAATGACTGGTCGATTGGCTCCTCCTTGACACTGAATTTTCCCACATTTGGCATCTCTGAAGGATTTAAACCCAAAGAGTAGTTAAATGATTCGAAACGTTACCACCCCTCTCCCACCACCCTTGGTGCCTTGCTCTCCCTACGACCCAGAGGACTCCTGTGGTTGTGGGGAGGGGCCCTACCTGGGTTCACATTTAGCAAAGGAGCTCTTGGAGTCTTTGCCACAGTTGCCGTAGGGATCACCCGCCGAGTTGACTCTCTCAAAGCAGATCCCAGGAGCAGGTTTGGCACCTGAAACAAAACCTCATCAGGGCTTTCATCTCAGACAAGGTGTTTTCATCATGTTCTTTGAGCTCCACTGATGCTTTAGGGGAAGGTAGGGTGTGATCTGCATGTTAATGGAGCACAACAAACCAGTTGTGCTGGATCAGCATGAGAATTGGGGAGCCTGGCTGTGTGGGGCTTTCACTGTTGTTTGTCTCTCTTGGCAATGTTGGGCAATAGACATGCAGAACTGATGCTCTTTCAGAATTTTTCTAGATCACTGAATCACGGAATCCCAGCATGGTGGGGTTGGAAGGAACCTCTGGAGATCATCTCCTCCAACCCCCTGCTCCAGCAGGTCACCCACAGCAGGGTGCCCAGGATCGTGTCCAAGTGGGTTTGGAGTCTCTCCTCCAACACCTCTCTGGGCAGCCTGCTCAAGGTTCTGCCACCCTCACAGCAAAGAAGTTTTTCCTCATGTTAGGTAGAACTTTGTGTGTTCTAGTTTGTATCCACTGCCCCTTGTTCTATCACTGGACACCACTGAAAAAAAGTCTGGCCCTGTCCTCTTTTAGAAATAGGTAAATGACCCCTGTCCTTTACCTCTTTCTAAACATTGATAAGATCCCATAGATGATGTCTGTCTTGTGAGCTCTCCTAGGACACAAAAGGCTTCTGGCAAATGCCACATACAGACTGGTGAATAAAGACAAGGGCCAGCTGGTAAGTCAGCTCCCTTCTTTTGACAGGACTCCATGTGATTCTAGCAAGACCCCAAGAGCTGAAGCCAGAGAAAAGAGACTTTTCAAGAAAGGTGTTTTGAAGTGCAATTCAGAACAACAAGAAACCAGAAAAAAGCAAAAGTCCTATTCAAACTGGGGTGCTGTGTGTCAGGAGAGAAATGTCATGGCAAAGAGAACAGGCTGCTGTTGGCTCAAGCTGATGTCCTGGGGAGAGCAAGAGGACCCATCCCCACCTTAATCCTCAGTAAATCCACTCCTGAGAGGAAAGAATGACTTGAAAGAAAGGTCTTTTCTAACGTGGTGGTAGAAGTAGGAATCTGGGAAGAGAGGCAGCATCTGGTTCTTATCTGCTGTAGTCTTTTTGTGCTGGAGACATATCCTAATGGCAAAGGAACTTCCCCGGTGGGAGTAGTCCTGGAAATGTTTGTGCAGACAGATTAGTCATCCCCACATTTTAGAAGTCAAAAGGTAGCATTGGAACATCTATTCTCATGTCATAGACAGTCCATCTCCTGTCTGTTTTCCCCTCAGATTATGCCCAATAACTTCTACATGCATTCATCTGAACTATCTAAGAGGTGGAGGATCTACTTCTCTGGTTTGACTGTTGCAAGAAATTAGTCCATGCATTAGACTTTAATCCCCTTGTTCTGTTTTGAAGTGTGGCTTTTATCTCCAGCTAGGAATTGCCACTCTCTGCAAGATTAAGAGACCCTTTCCTAGCAAACTACTCAATTTTTTCTTTCCAGGAAGACAACTAATAGCACAATCAAGTCATTGCTGACTTTCAGCTGCACCAATAACACAGATTTGCTTTGAGGAGACAAGGTGGCAAGGAGATACACTGGCTAAAACTCTTAACAGATACCTGCTAGATACTTTTGTGAACTTTTGATAGATCAGCCCAACTAAACTAAAAAGAACTGGCAGCAAATGATGTGGTAGCCCAGAGGCTGACAATATAGTGTTCCCTAATCTTTAACAGAGACAGAATATCTGAGTTAACATTACATTTTTTCAGTTGTTTTGAGCCACTTCCAAGTGTGTATGTCTCTAACTGTGGGTAAAACCTATCATTTATCCTGAAATTTCCATCTGAAAGCCTTCAAAGAGGAAGAAGGTTTGGGTTTTGCTTTTTTTTTTAAAAAAAAGGGGTCAAATTCCTGGAGTAGAAAACACAAATATGATTGTAAAACTTCCAGTTAGTGTGGATCTTTTCAGTAATAACTCAGAGATTAAAGCTTCAATTAATTATCTGCGTTTCACAGTCAGAAGCTTGACTAATACTATATATTGCTGAACAGCAATCTAATGCTATTAAGGACAAAATATTAACACTTGGAGAGGCTTTAGAGAGCACCCTCTTTTCCTTCTAACGTTTTTACATACTGAAACTGGAAAACTTAGAAAGAAAGGCACAGAAGGAACAGAATATGAGCTGTTGGTTCCCTGGAGAGCAGGACAAGAGCTTGAAATTCTTTGGAAGATTACTATCAAGCTTGCTGAGTTCAGAATATTTCTCAAATCTGGAACTACTAAAGGGGACTCACACAGGATTCTTTCACTTCTTTTCATTAAGCCACAAGCAGTAATCAAAAAAAAAAAATCAACAAAAGCATCCAGATAAGGCACTGTGCAAAAAAGCAAAAGTAAAATTTCCATTTTCAGCATATAGATTCCTCCTCGTCTTCCCAGGGCAGGCACATTAACTATTCAGCTTGATACAAACATTAACATGTGCATATACTATGCCAGCCTTAGAAGGGAAGGAGAAGAAAGGAAAAAAATCATGCTGTAAGCAAGGGGCCAAGTAAAACTGCTTTTTCTGCACATCTGCAAGGACCAACTTGCTCAACCTACCTTATCAGAGCAGTAAGCCCCTGCCCCACCTATCATGATCATAAAGGTCTCGATTTCCCTGGCTGGGAGCCTTCTGCCCCAACTAGTTCAACAAATGCTGCACCCTTTCAGTGACCAGAGGCTTCCTTGGAGACGTGGCAGCAGCAGACCAGAGCTCAGAGACACTTTGCCTCCAGTGGCTCCAGAAGCTGCCAAAAGCAAAAGGAATGCTCATGGCTGTAAGTGACCTAACAAAAAAAAGGTGGTAAAACCCAGAAAGGGCTCACTGCAATAAGGCGGGCCAGCAGCAGACCAGAGCTCAGAGACCCTTTGCCTCCAGTGGCTCCAGAAGCTGCCAAAAGCAAAAGGAATGCTCATGGTAAGTGACCTAACCAAAAAAAGGTGGTAAAACCCAGAAAGGGCTCACTGCAATATGAAAAGACATGAGGTATTTGTCGTTCTCCTTCACGTGGTGAAACTTTTCTTTGTTTGTTTGGGTTTTTTTTTTGAATGTAGAAGTCAAATGTGCTACCCGTGATGGAAAGCAGCCCGCAGGAAGAAGAACACATCTGCAGCATCCTTGCAGGGCTCAGACAGTGAGCTTTAACTCCAATCAATAACACTTGACAAGGGAAAAGATCTCATGGAGTACAAAAAAATGTTCCCCTGCCAGGCTCAGAGCAGTCTGTGTATGAAAACACCTGGTACCCAATGATCATCTGCAGCCTGGAAACCAAAACCGAGCTTCAATTTCTGCCTTTGGTATCAAACCAAAGCACGTTGGTGCCTGGGATTCAGATGGCTGTTCCTTCTTCTGACTGGTTTCGCACAATATTTGGACTTTTTTTTATAGATGAAAACATATCAGAGTGTAAGAAGCTGAACAGATGGAGCTACCAAGATAAAAGGAGGTTTTCAGAGGGTGCTTACGGAAGAGAATTGCAATGTTGTGTTTCTGGAGGAAAGCCATTTATCATGATTGCACCACATAAACTGAAGCAGAAAGTCCTGTCTTTCTCCATTTTGTTACCTTTACAGGCCAAGGCAAAATGATTTGTGAAAGATTTCCAGTGGTTATTAACTGCTTTGAGCTGGATGAGCAGAGTTTATTTCACTTTGCTATCGATAATTACAGTATCATGACCCTGTAATTAAGGTCCTGTCAGCATTTCCATGCCAAGCCTTTTTCAAGGGATTAAATCAGCTGTTTGAATCTGCAGACGGTCAAAGCTCAACACTGCAGTTGTCAGCCTGGAGATTTTTATTTTTTTCCCCCTCCAAATGTGTATATTGATGAGCCCACTTCTCTCTCTATTGCAAGAAAAGAGATGTCCTACGTTTTTGGAAGTGATACAGAAATGCTGTGTCGTTTCAGATCAGTGCTGCATGGAGAAAATGCCATCACGGTCTCCCAGATGAAAAGAGAGAAATTTCTGACCATGGTGCTGATTCCAAAACCAGAGGAACACCCGTTATCAGGCTCACAGTGGGAAAGAAAGATATTTCAATGCATTTCCCAGCACTGTCTCAAGGTTTAGCTAAAAAAAAATATAAAAATAAATCATTATACAGTGTTTATGGATGTGGAAAGAGAAAAAAAAACAACCTCTGAGTAAGTCTGGGGTTGTGTTGCTCAGGCTATGCCAACTAGCACCATGAACAACTGTATAAATAAATTAAAATATAAAAATGCTGTTCTCTCTCATGTGATTCACAGCTGGATTTTACATCCCATTAAGTTTGTTTTACTGCACTGACGATGGAAAGTAAACTTGCCACGAGCTCCCCTTGGCCTTGCTCTTCATCTTGGTGACCCCTGTTAGGTCTGTGCAAGAGCAAGATGGGGCTGAGCTGTTATTTTTTGCATTTAAGGAACATTTCAGCTCTCACTGCCTCTGAGAATACGGTTAATGCCTTCCACATCTCCAAAAGGAAAGACTTGGCCACAAATCTGAGATGGCCAAAATAGTTTATTTTTACTGAATTCAAATCCTTACAGTGCTTGGATAAATTAGTATTTTTGAAAGCAAACCAAACCAAACCAGTTAGCAATGGTTTGGTCAGCCAACTTGGATGGGAAGAGCATCTGTTTGCCTCCAGGGTTGTACCTGGAAAAAACCTGCAAAGCTCTTACATCAGTGACAGCCCTTTGTGACAAACAGTGACATCAAAATTAAGATTGTTCCTGCCTCTACAAACAGATTTGTGGCAAATCCATGCAATAAATTTAAGTATGCTCTAATTATTAAGTTAAACCTTGCTATTGGCTCCCCAAAATCTTTGCTTTTTTGCCCTCTTGGTGAAATGTAAGAAAACACACTGACAAATGTCTGTTTTCTCCCTACAGAATCATTTTCTTGACAATGTAGAAAAAGCCATGAGTCTAAGGCTGAATATCTTCTATTCTGTGGTAATCAATAAATTCTCTCCCTTAAGTAGCTTACTCTGTGTATCTAGATGCTCACAGAAAATGCCAATAGAGTAGCAGCCATTACACAAATGTATTCTTATTGATGGATCTCTCTATCAATAGGTCAAATCAGGACAATTTGGTAGTTTTGAATATGAAACAAAAGAGGTCACAAGCAATTCATGCACGTTGCTCCTTAAGGATAAAAATGACATGAATTAAGAGGAGAAAGAGTAGAGAAATTTGTGTGTTCTGGGAGCAGACTGGAACGAACTTGATCTTTTAGAGGAATTTATGGCTAATCTCCAAGACTGTCCCCAGGTGCCCCTCCCCTCTTTCACACCAAGCTTCCCATGCTCCTGCAGATGGGGAAGAGCAAAAAAATATTGCTCTATTTCATTTGAATGTATCTGTTAAAAGTAACACAAAAAAAAACCCAAGGAAAAGCAAGTGCTTCGTTTTGGAGCCAGGCTCCCATTGCTCAGCCTAATGGAAACAAGCTCTGACAGCACTCATCAGTTTTCTTTAGCTAGATCTAAAAATATTAAGATTGATGTTTATTATTGGGCTACTGGACATCCATAACCTGATGAATAGAGAAAGATACACAAAAGAAGATGCTGATAAGGGATTCAATATACTGAATATTATTTTAAGAAAAGTGATTGTATTTTGTTCTGCGTGGCTTTCTCCTACTGAGAGGAAGAAAAAAGGAAGGAATATAAATTAACTATGATCTGTGTTGTCTTTACAGTGTAGAAGTTTTTTCAAAAAATCACATAACTGCTGCTTCACTCCAGTCCAACACACACAGTGGTTAGAAACAATTCTAATCCATTACAATGAGCTGGTAAGAGGTTCAAATGCATCTTTATGATACAAAGTCTAGATGCAAGAGCTAAGAATGTTGAGTCTCTCTTTGTGCTGCAAGCAAGGCTGGAAAGAAAGTTCTTTTATCTGTTTCATGGTATTTTTTCAACTGCATGGCCCACCTGGCCCTCTTCCCATTCCACCCTGCTTCTGTCAGCTCATACTCCAACCAGATGGAAGCGTGATCATGGGGAGGATATACACAACCCTAGTCTTTAATTCCAGAATCTAGACCCTCTTGCTTCACTGTTTGAAGGTTTACTTTATTGGTATTATTCTAATTTATGCTTCCAAAAAGGTGATAAGAATGAAACCTTTCGATTCAGGTTTGGTGATGTTCTGTCTTCCCTTTCAGAATCTTTATTCTTGGGTACTCCCCTTATTTAAGGGTATTCCAGTTCAAGTCTGTTTGAGTTCAGCTCTTAACAGAGTCATCTTTCTCATGAGCAGACCCCCATGGCCTTGGCCAGTGGTGACTCCACACCCAGCAGTGTCCATCTTGAACAGTCACAGCAAAGAAGACAAAAAAGACCTAAGGGAGCCCTGGGGGTTTGGAGGACTTGCTGCCTTAGGAAACAGACCTGGCAAGGGTGCTGCAGCAGTTCAGCTCCCTGACCTTTAGCTGAATTTTTCTCAGCAACTGAAATTATTAACAGTCTGACTGAGTAACTTTCCATGGCATGGGAAACTGGTTCAGAAGGAGATTTTGCTTTATACAACAGAAAATGTCTCTGTATCCAGGGGATTAAAAATCCCAGTATGACTAAGACTGGAGGCTATAATTGCACATGCCTCTATGAGCTCATATTAACTCTACGACACGAGTGGGATTTGGAGGAGTATATCAGACTCATGGTTTGTTCCACGTGGGGAGTTTAATTTTGAACTGGAACTCCTCTAACGTGTTCTTATACCCACCTGACCAAACTAACCTGCTGTCTGTATCAGTGCCATTATTTCTTGAGATGCTTTAATGCTCTTTAAAACCAGAACTGTGAATGGTCCAAGTCCCTCTGATGATAACAGATAAATCCTTCACCAGACTTCTGATGAGGATTTTGGCTCAGGGAAACATCTGGGTGCCATTATAGTGATACACATATTTTGCAACAAGGTTAAAGCCATAGAGATACTGCACTGAAAGAGGCTAAGGGAGCTGAAAAAGTTAGTTTAAAAGACTCAATTAAATCTAGCTCTAAATAATGCTTCTCTTCTGGAGAGGTAAAAGAGGTTTTCCAACCTGAGAGACGTGGTGAGATGCTGAAGGAGTCATGACTTGTCCCAAATAATGCAAGAGGCAATAGCAAAATGCTGAGTTAGTACTTGCATTTCAGTGAAAGGGCCACAGGACATTACAGAAAGGCGAATGGATTTCCTGGGATATTTTGGATAACCCAAGAAATTATGCTATGGGATTTTTGAGAAAAGAAAGGAAATTCCCATAGGAGAATAAAATCTCTTTATGCTTTAGTAGACACTCTGCTAGGAGTACTGTCAGGAGGTAGGCTTACAGGGCAACACCCATTAATAAACACAATGAGAGAAGAATCTTATGCTAATGTCAGGTAGGATACAGATACATATGGATGACATTTCCCTGGAAGTGTTCAAGGCCAGGCTGGATGGGGCATTGAGCAATCTGGCCTGGTGGGAGGTGTCCCTGCCCATGGCAGGGGGGTGGAACTAGATCTTTAAGGTCCCCTCCAAGACAAAGCATTCTACAGGTCTGTGATTCTGATATGTGTTTTGCAAATGAGCCATTTAGGGCAGAGAAGGAAATGTACACACCAGTCTGAGAAGGGAATTTCAGCCTGTTGAGGGCACTCAGCACTTTGCAGGCCAACACAAGGCAATACCACAGGCAGTCTGAAATGGGTTGTCTACGTTCACCCAGCCATTTGCAGCAGTGCTGCAGAATGAACCCAGTCACTGTCTCTCTCTACCTCCTGCTGCAAGAGAGGAGCACAACTGCAGATGAAAGATAGAAACCATCCCAAAGCGATTCCCTCCTCGTTCAGGTCTCCACTTCAGAAAAGAACAACTACAGATTGTGTAAAATTCCTCCCAATCACACGCTTGCTTTTATTTTTCTTTTTCCAGTCTAGGTGATAGAGATGCCCTGGTTCTCAAGCCCACCTTGGCCCCAGAGGGTGATGCACTGCTGCTCGTGGGTCTGGCAGATGCCATTGTAGCAGTAGCCATCCACCCTGTGGCACGCGTGCCCGTCGTGCAGGTACACGTTGGCAGGGCAGTGAGGGCTGGCTCCTGTGCAGAACTCTGGCAGATCACAGGAATTACTTGACTCTCTGCAAGGAATCCCCGCTGGCTTCAACTGCAAAACATAAAAAAAAGCCCTTTTAACTGCTGCAATTCCAAGCAGTGATACAGAGGCACAACCAAACAGCTTTTTCCACTGGCTCTGCTCCAGCTGACCACAGAGGACAATATCAGGATTATGCAGCTCTTTAAATGCATTTATTTGACACATGTTTCGAAGGGTATGGCAGAGAGAAGGGCCAAACAACTTGCAGCTACAAACATGGCTCACGTGGCTCAAATCAGAAGGAAAATCCAGCCTTTTGTTAGTTTTCAAACAGGAACCAAAGTTTTCAGCATTCCTCCTGCAGTCATGCCTAAACACTCAGGCACAGGAGCAGTTTGGGCTGTAGTGCAAAGGGTGCTCTGACCAAAAGTCAGACCAGAAAACTCTCCATCCATATGGCCTTAAGGACACAGCAGTGACCGGGGCAGCCAGCTGAACACTGGAGCTGAACTCATGAAGCCACCAGCCCATCTGATTCTGGCTTCAGGCCCTTGACATCTTCCTGGGACAGAGCTGCTTTTCCTCTGTTTTGGGGAGGTCCCATTTTCCACAGGCAACAAGATCTTCAAATTATTGACACATCTAGCCCATTTAACTGTTCCTGTCCCAATTTCCCTGGGTAACAACTTTCTTTTCAGAGCTGAAGGCAGCTAGTAGGTCATGGTGGAACGTGGCAACCTGAACACTCAACATACCAACAACAACAACCACAAAAGATGGGTGTGCTCTGGGACCAGCACTGACTTCTTTAAAGGTTTTTTTTAACTGCATCACCACAGCGCCTTTGGTAAAAAGCAAAAAAAGACATGAAGATTGATTTTGCTGAAAAGCACTTGCTAGCTGTTTGGATAGCTTGCTGCTACTGAGCTTTTAGGCAGATGGTTGCCACAGACACAATGGAAACTTGCTGAATGCTTTATTAGCCCATATGCAAGAGATGGTCTGAGAATTCAATAAGGTAAATGCCTGTGGCGAGTTGGCTTTTTATAGTATGTTAGGAGTCCACAACAGCTGATGATCTGCCATTAAAATATATATGCTGTTGATAGAATGAATATTTTAAGAGCCTTCCCATAAAAAGGGCATCCAGCATTTAACGACTGCTTGCCAGAGCACAACAGCCATATAAGCCTGAAAAAAATCAAAGCATATAAAAGTGCATGAGAAAGAAGAGGTTTTGCATGAGCAAATGAAGTGCTTACAGACAGCAAAGACACCATAAAAAAAAAGCCTGTCGATCTGCTCCTTCATTGACTGTGACAATCTGAGAATTTTTTGAATTGTTCACACGAAATGCAAGTGTCTTAAAGCTTAATGATACCAACAGGCTTGGTCCACCCTTGGTTGGTGCTCTGCAGGTGGGAAGACTGTGGAATTCTGCCCACCCCCCAGAGATAAGCCCCTTTTCCCCTGGTTCACCTGGCAGTCTTGGCAGCAAAGTCCATGGGCACACACTGCTCCGGGGTTCAGGGTACAGGTGGTGGCATTGCAGCACCGGTTGGTACATTCCTACAGGGAGGAGAAATTTAGAGCAGACAACTTTCAGTCATGATGAGCTGTAAACCAAGAGGCTGCCTATAGCTCTGCCAAGAAAAGCTAGGCATGAAAGAATGAATTATGCATGAAATCCTACAAATTGATCCAAACGGTCTTGTCTGCCTTAAGATTCAATGAGTGCAATAATTGCAGGAAAAGCAGGGAGGCCATTGAGGGAGGTTGGTTTATTCTAGCTATGGATCTTATCCCAAACATCACCAACACCTCAAGTATACTGATATCAATCCTGATACAGTAGCAGGGTGTTTTATTTCTACAAAAAATCAGTGGAAAGCTTCCATTGCCTCCAGTGAGGATCCAGGACCTGTGTTGCAGTTACTGAGCAGCACAACTACAGCTCTATTTTGTGATAGTTGCTCACCAGACTTCTGTATTGCATGGAGCCTGGTGGCAGCCACAAAGAGAGCTGATGAAATTATTCCATGTAATCTCTTATCAGGGTATGCCAATAATAGAGCTCTGAGAAATGAAACGGGTACGACTTGCGTTCTCTTACATCCCAATTTCACACTTAGGGATTAGATGGTGGCATGTGTGGGCTTTTGCAAACTTCATTCTCAGTAGAATGAGCTAGTAAGAAGTTTCAGAAAATAATAGATTTGTTTTTCCAAGATTATGCTCACAGGCTGCGAGTTCCATCAGCTGCACCAGAATCTCATCTCTCTCTAACAAAAATAGCAGCAGATAAAATTGCTCTTCAGCTGCGTTAAGTCAGTTTGACTTAACAAGGGATCACTAACAATATAGGGAACACAGGAAAAATAAGTGGGTTAGAATGATGTTCACAGTCTCTTGTTATGTTATTGGCTCTTGTGAAGCTTTCCAACTGGAAGATGGGGCTACCACTGCACTCACAGAGAGCAAAATTATTTGCAGCCTTCCACTGTTTTCTTAGATAAGATCTGTCTGAATGTACAAAGCTCACTGTGCTGCTCTGAAGCAGTGGAACCACCTCCTGCACCTATTTTGGATCATTCCAGGAGGCAGCAGGCTCCACAACCACCTCTGTGCAGCTGCTGTATTTAAGAACCAACGTCCTGATGCACAGAAGCACGTTTACAAATTCACCTCAATAGCAATCTGGGAAAACAAGGTGGAGGAAAGTAATATCAGTCCAATTAAAGGACTTCTGAAACAGCCAGCTCCTGTAGCCCATCATCTGCCCCTACAGCAGCCAGCCATGGAAAGCAATCAGCATTCCACAGACAGCCTGGGATAAAGACATGGCTCTTGAGTGATGTTACTGCAGCCTCTGAAGTTTCCAATTGCTCACTCCCTTATTACTCGTGGTAGGGAACGAGCCTGGTAAATAGTTTTTGTGCCTGGGTTATTAAATTGTCAGGAATGGTTTTAACATAAACAGGTGAGCAAACAGAAAAGGCTGCAAGGCTTTTAGAGACTGCCACCCAAAATGAGTGCTGTGCTGCAGTATATTATTATTAGTTATTATTAGTAACAACAGCAATGATGGGAATTGGGTTCCTATGTGTAGGTTTTCATCTGAGCATCTCAGACAGATGAACACAAACCCCATTCCAGCATCACCTACATGATGTTGGATACTGTAGACAGGACATCTTGTTTTCAACCCTGTTTTTCTAAGAACGCAGGGTAGATCTCACTGGGTCAGCCTATAACCCTTCTGGCCTTGTGTCCCCCCAGCAGCAGCCAGCAGAAAATGCCTAAGGACAAGAAAGTGAGCACACATACATGATGCCTTCCTGGCTTTCCCTTGGCTCTGTGGGCCTTTTTAGCAAATCCAACATGAAGGGGAAAGGAACTCACAAATAACTGGCACAGTCTGGGGAGCAGCTCCTTCTGCTTGCCTGGAACCCACCATTTTCTAACTTCATTTGCCCAGCTCTTCTTGGGGCCATTCTCACTATTTCCATTTCACTCAGTGATTTTATCTGTTTCTGTCACATTTTCCTTCCTTTTCTCCTTTTCCAGCCAGAGCCTCTCCAAAACTTTGAACCATCTTATTGCTTTTCTTTCAGCCTTTTTTATTCTGCTTTATCCTTCCTGAGATCAGGGAGGGGTAGGAGTGAACTGCACATGCAGTTTCAGGTGCTGCAGATTTATAGAGGCTTATAGGTGCTTTGTTTTGTTTTCCTATTTCTCCCTTAGTAATTTCTAACAGCCTATTTACCTTTTAGACCATTCTTGAGCACTCAGCTGACATTTTCATGAGACTATTTATGGCAATATGGAGTCTTGTTCCTCTATGGTTAGAGTCAGCTCTGAGTCCATCATCTTATATGTGATATTTGGAATGTGCATCACTCCGTGCTGAATTCTATTTGTCATCTTAATGCCCAGTCCAGCTGTCTCAGAAGGTTCCTCTGCAGTTCTTCATAGCCAGCTTTCATCTCTACCATCCTAGCTAATATCATCAGCAAATTCAAGGCTATTCCTCTTCCCAGGCTGTTTATGAATATGCTGAATTGTGTAGTCCCCAGGACACATCTCACGGATACATCACAGATTTCCATCCCCTGCATGAAACGGTTGATTTATACCTGGTTGAATTTCCCATCTTTTAACTCAGTTGTTGCCCATGCAATATTCTCTCACCCTACAGCTGCCTCATCTCCTAAAGAGGCTTTGGTGAAAGGATTTGGTCTGAAGCTTCTCTGAACTCCTACCAGGAGTCCTGCAATAGCAGCACAGTCCCTTTCCATCCACTTGTTAAGTCCTTCACAGCACTGTGATAGCTCTGATATAGAAAGACAAGAACTCCTGTCACAAAAGCTGTGTTGGCTCATCCCTGGCATGTCACAATTGTTCAGGCACTAGTGCTTGATTACATTTGGAAGTAATTTATCTGACTTCTGATTCACCAATTTTCTGATCCCCCTTGCAGGCCTTTATAAATTTAGCCACATTTGTCTCCTTTCAGTTCTCAGGGACCAAGGATTTTGATTTTTCCACCTTCTTCTGTCTTTCCATGTCTAATCTACCTCCCCTCTCCTTCCACAGACATCGCAGGATGTCAGAGATTTTTAATAATGTGATGCAAAATGAAGTTGGAGAGATAGCTCTGATATAGAAAGACAAGAACTCCTGTCACAAAAGCTGTGTTGGCTCATCCCTGGCATGTCACAATTGTTCAGGCACTAGTGCTTGATTACATTTGGAAGTAATTTATCTGACTTCTGATTCACCAATTTTCTGATCCCCCTTGCAGGCCTTTATAAATTTAGCCACATTTGTCTCCTTTCAGTTCTCAGGGACCAAGGATTTTGATTTTTCCACCTTCTGTCTTTCCATGTCTAATCCACCTCCCCTCTCCTTCCACAGACGTCGGAGGCTGTCAGAGATTTTTAATAATATGATGCAGAATGGAGTTGGAGATTAATTGGTGATATCATCCTTCATCAGGTCTTGCACTCCTGGCTGAGTGGTGAGCATGTTCCAGAAGATGACCAGCACCTGATGCACCTGAGATCATGGTGTGGATGGAGGTGGTCAAAGAGTTCCTACTGCATCAGTGTTTCCAGGGTGGTCTGAGATGGGAGCTGTGCTAACATCACAACTCTCCACCCTCATGGGTCCATCACTGTCCTGCTGCTATGGACTGTCAGTGAGCACAGACCTCAACGTGGGGCTGTTCTGCTTAAAGGAGGAATGTCCCTGCCAACCACCTGCATCTACATACCCAGACTGATATTTAATTCTGATCACTGATAAAACACAACTAGCAGAAGTTATTGTACAGCTTTCCATGCCATAAAATATCACAACACTATTGACAAAACTCAGCTGCTACAAATGACTGGGCAGTGAATTATTAACTAATCCAACAGGTTTTCTGGAACCACTCAGATCATAGCAGTAATTCCCAAATTAATTTAATTTGACCCAAGCTGCAGTTTCTCAAGAAAACTAAAAGGGAAAAACATAGAAAGAAGAGGCAAATCAAGGCAGAGCTTGCTGATGTTAAGTGGTTTTGACATGAAAAGGTATCACTAACATTCAAAAGTGAAAATGAGAAAGATAACTCGGTTAGAAAGACATTTGCAAGCTGCTTGCACTCTATTGACTTTAAACAAGAAGATAAGCCTGCTTCCTCCAACCTTGTTACCCTGAAGAATGAGTGAACTGTCAGGAAATCCTTATGGCTTGTGTAAATCCAATACCCTGCATAGACAGGATACAGCAATATCTTGCTGTTTTAACTGCCCTGATCTATTTTGTCTGCACAACCAAATTTATCACAGGAAACAAATCCCTCATCTGCTGATATATTTAATTCAGATATTCCGAGAGAAGTCCAATACAGCCAACGAGCATGGGATGCCAAAGGGATGTGGATGTCAGTTGGCATATTATTTGACCCCCAGGTTTTGCCTGTTTCCTCCTGATCTGAGCAGCCCTCTGACACATCCACTAAACTAAATGGAATGATATTTGAAGGAGTACCAATCTTTTTGGGAGGCAGTAAAGGCTATTTCTGTTAGCAAGGTAACTGGCTAGCAGCAAAGAGAAACCTCGTAGTGAAGGAGGGAAAAAAACCTGAAGCTGGCTGCAATGAAGAAATATCTAACCAATATTAATTTCTATGTGTAATACTAATATATATTAATAGATGAGTGGCTTGTCATATACAGAAACAAACCTCCAATTGATACATGATAGCTTGAGAAATTTGAGCAATGTTAACAAATTTATGTTGAGTTTAGCTTATTACCAAGTACTTAAAAGAACTTCTGTCACTAGGAACAGGACAGTTAGTTCTGGTTAGTCTGTTGGACAAACCAAGAGAGTTTGTCTTCTAATGGTAAATGGAGCACAATCTGAAATAAAGCCCTGCCTGAACTTTAGCAACTCAAGTGCAAGAAAAGCAGGAACTCTCCACATTTCTGAGGACTCTCAAGCTGGTAAGATAGAAGCAGAGAAAGGAGAGTTTTGTTCTCTATCAAATAGTGTTAAACATGCCAAACCAATCCTTTCCTGTCAAAACCCTGTGGACAGGAGGTGAGCAGTGATTCTCAGGTGGTGTCTTACATCTGGCTCCCCGCAGTCGCACTCCTCTCCATCTTCCACATAGCCATTCCCACACTTCTGGCCACCCAAGGACTCCTTCACTTCAGGCAAGTTAAACAGACACATTCCCACTCCTTTTTCCAGGCTGTTTTCCAGGTCCTTTCTACTGCAGCTACTGAACACCATGGGAAATGGATAGCTAGAAGAAAAATTCATAGAGACAAAAAAAAAGAGGTAGTATCAGATGAAAACATTTCTCTCCTGTCATGCTGGTGAATATTTAGGAAGTCTGTGCACAAACAAGAATCATAGAATGGTTTGGGTTGGATATGACCTTAAAAATCATCTAGTTCCAACCCCCTGCCATGGGCAGGGACACCTCCCACTAGAGCAGGTTGCTCAAAGCCCCATCCAGCCTGGTCTTGAACACATCCAGGAATGGAGCATCCACAACTTCCCTGGGCAATCTGTTCACCACCCTCACAGTCAAGAACTTAGAAGACAATGTTCACTTCTTTTTAACCATTTAACATAGGATTAAAATATAGCAAATCACTGTAAAATTGAGCCCAAAACATTTATAATGTTTTCTGACTATAAGCAAGGGAATTTCCATCATTTTCACTTAAATTTGTAGCTGCTGTTAAGGACTGCAAGTGTTCATGTTTGGGATTCCTTCTCCCTGTTTTGCACACGTTGTTATAGAGCAAATTTTGTTCATGATCTTAAAGAAAAGCTGGGCTTGAAAGGAGGATTCCTGCAGTTACAGGACTGCAAAACGTCCCAAACCTTCTTGGAAAGTTTAGCTTCAAATGGCAAATTCATTCTTCTTTCTCTGCATTTTGGCAAATTTCCTGCTCTTTTCAGGGAAAAAAAAATAGAGTAAAACACCAAGTTACTTGATAAGACCCTGCTTCTGCAATTCATCAAAGTCAGGCTTGGGAACTGTGTGATTAGAGCAAATACAGTTTTTATTTTAAATCAGCATGGCTGTAAAGAAAGTACTGAAATACTCATATTTTGAATTCACACTGCTGAGGGCAGGATCTGGCCCTGCTGTTCAGATTTTGATGAAGCTACTGGTGTTTCTAATATTTTGAAATGAAAAGCTTGCTTTGTGAATGATGATGCCTATAGGTATCAGAAAAGGATCATTTCTATTAAAAAAAAAAAAATGTTTGGCAATTAAAAATGCAATAGAGCTTCCTATGTTGACATAAGGATGTTAATTAGGATATTCTAGAAAGGTTATGGGTACCTTACAGAACAGAATTCATTTAGTGCCTATTTAAAATTACCTCTTTCACAGATTCTTTTGCAATAAACCAGCCAGCTCAGTGGAAAAGAACATAAACATGACTGAAGAAGAAAATAATTTTCATGTATCACTATAGGGCTTGTCTAGTTAAACTAAACAGTCCTGTGATTCACTGACATATGACTTCAGAAATTTAATAGGCATGTGAAAAGCTGATTTCTGGAAAACACAAATGTTTAGGCAAAATGACAGCATTGAAGATAAATAAAGAGATTTCAGAATAGCACGAGGTAGGAGTCAGGCTGTTAGCTGCAACTCTGGGCCCCAAGGGGAAACAGGAAAGGTCCTTGGGTTAGTGAAACAGAAAATACAAGTTCTTAGGAAGCCTCCTACTGACCATTTTACATTGAGCAATTGGAGGTGTTCTTAACAGGGTACCACAAACTTCTGTCCTGCTCTGGGTTGAACTGGAAAAACCCCAAACCCAGCCCAAGACTTTGTGTACGTGACTAGGAACAAGTAGATGGCTGCACATGGTTATCAAACACCAGGAAAAACTGAAGCAACCCAGATCCATCTGACTGATAAACCCTGCACAAAATATCTGAGTGCTTGATCAGACATGATCCTCATATCAAAGTACGATTAAATGAATGCTGCATAATCCAGGCAAGATCCTTCCCTTCAAGTGACACAGAGTTACTTTGATATCCACTGGGATGAGACAGGGAGATGTATGCACCTTACACAGACTGCAGTCAAGTCAGAGACACAAATAATGCACTTTTCCTTGTCCTCTGTATCTCAGCTGCATTCAGATCATGTGAATAGCTCACCAAATTTGTCAGTATTTTAGGGCTTTTCCTTTCTATCCATGAATATTCAAGGTCATCTGCATGAATGTGAGATGTGTCTGTCCATCAGTGGGAGAACAGAACCCTTACTTTTTACCAGAGGTGAAATAAGATAATTGTTAATGAATGAGGTTTCTATTTCCCCCCTGAAAGGAACTTCAAGCTGTTTCCTATTTTGAAATAAGAAGTCCATTCATCTTCTGGCTTTTCCTGCTCTTGACACTGATTTCCTCGGCTGACATCAGCGCAGCACATGTTATGGGATGAAATTTTCTGAAAATACTTTTCCTTTACCAAGTAAGCCCAAAATAAAGCAATACAAAACCAGAGATAAACTCGACAAGTGGAAACAGAGAGCAGCTGGAGGGGAACCACACCGTGCACGAGAAGATCCCACATCAATTGATGTCAGTTGGTATTTCATTGGAAACATAACTGATCTTTAATACTGTGATATTCTGACAAGCAGCAATTCTTCATTATTTTTGGGGACAAAAAAAAGCCACAGCATTTGATCATTGTGATTTTAGGCTACATTTTTTGGCCATCTTTGCAATTTTGAAGCTGTTTCATCCAAAGCATGAAATCCCTGGCAGATGGGAAGGGAAGCTACAGAGAGCAGATGTCAGCAGCACTAGGCAGGATGTTTAAGTGAATCTGGAGCTTGTGAGGAATGGTGGAGTAGGGTCACTTGAAAGAAATTCATTCTCTGAAGAAAAAGCAGTGAGTAAGAAGAATCAGATCTCACCTGGGTGGACACTATTTTTGGGTGGGAAAAGGTAATGGGGTTTTCATAGTAAAGTCAGTCCTTGACCTCTCTCCAAAATTTCAGTAACATATTAAATAGGGTTTGTTGTGCTTTCTGTGGTAACTTAGACACTTATCCTGTTGGAAAAAAAACTCAGCTACAGGTTGTATAGGCTGATGAAGAACCTTCCAGAGGTAAAAAATGCATTAGCAATCAATATTTTCCATTATTCTTCACTCAAGACATTTTCTTTCATGGATCCTTATTTTTCTGCAGTTGGGAAGAGAAAGGAAACTTTAGTCCAACCTAATTCCTATTCTAAGATGCTGAATAGCCCACACATTTTCTACACTGTTTGAATTTCTAGATTTAACACACAATGGATCATTTTGTCAAACCATTCTGGCTGTGGGTACAACTCTATGGAACCCAAATTGTGCCCATCACGACATAGGTCTCTTCAGTGGGTTTACAGCAAGGAAAATAATGCCCTTCTTTCTACCCCTTTTGAATCCACAGCATTCCTCAGTGTCTCCTTGGTGCTTAAAAAAGGCATTTAACCTCAATCAACAAATATCCCCTTTCCCAGCAAAAAAATAGCTTTGACTGCTCCTGCAAATGAGAACTTCACAATAGTAAGAGGATGGCTGGTAATTGATTCCTTTAGAAACAGAGTCTGGTCATGTCCCATTCATTTTTATTTCAAGCACTCCAGGCATTTAAATGCCAGTTTCCTTTTTGTCATTTTGTATTTAGCCTGTATTAGATGGCTCTTTTCACTAAGAGAAGTGCCATCATCACTGTGTCAAGTCCCTTCTAAGAACAGAGAGTTCTTTGTACTTCCATCGTGTTGCCCAGCATAGGGCTATTTTTTTTTGCATGAACTATAAAAGTTCACAGACTCATAGAATCCCAGAACACCAGGTTGGAAAGGAGCTCAAGGATCACCTGGTCCAACCTTTCCTGGCAAAAGCACAGTCTAGAAAAGATGGCTCAGCACCCTGTCCAGCTGAATCTTAAAACTGGCCAATGTTGGAGCCTCCACCACTTCCATGGGGAGATTATCCCCATGGCTGATTGTTCTCATTGTGAAAAATTTTCCTCTCCTGTCCAATGGGAATCCTGTCCCAGATAACTCATACCCATTACCCCTTGTCTTTTCCATGTGACTCCTTGTAAAAAGGGAGTCTGCATCTTTGTAGCCACCCTTTAAATACTGGAACATGGTGATAAGCCTTCTTTTTAGCCTTCTTCCCTTAAGCCTTCTTTTCTCAAGGCTGAGCAAACCCATTTCTCTCAGCATTTCCTCACATGGCAGCTTCCCAGTCCTCTGATCATCTCTGTGATCCTTCTCTGGACCCTCTCCAGCCTGTCCACATCTTTTTTGTATGGTGATGACCAAAACTGAACACAGCATTTCAAGGGTGGCCTGACAAGCACTGAGTAAAATGGGATAATAACTTTATCTTTTCTGGTCATGCCCTTCTTGATGCAACCCAACATCCTGCTGGCCTTCGTTTTTTGGGTTTTTCCTCCATCATCTCCACTTCAGAGGCATTCTCTCTCCCACTGGGCTGAACAAGAGAGTACATGCACAGAAACAGAGAAAGTCACTCTCCCAGAAAATTACAGTCTTAAGAGACCAGAGAGCCAAAACATTTAGGAGAAACAGAATGGCTATTGATTCATGCAGGGTGCACAGCAGACCATCTGCAATCCTAGCACCAATACCACCTCTGAGGCTGTTGTACCATGTTTGGCATTGTTGTCTCTCCCATGGCCCCATCTGGAAAACTCCTGGAGGGACACTGACTTGAGCTGCAGGAGATCTTTGCTCCATTCCAAACCCACTGCATCACAGCAATCACCTTAGGAAAGCCATCTGAAGTGAAAAGTCCTTGGTTCCTCCAAAGCACAACCATCAACATCTTTAGGTGTCTAAGCATTTAGTACTTTGGATCTACCTTCTCTGTGTTTCTCCACCACAAAAACCAACATATTTTGCTCTTTCTCAAAAAGCCCCAACCATCAAAGCAGTGGCACCATCAGTGCTTCTGGGAATTCTCTATGCATTGCACAGGAGGATAGACTGCAAGTTTGTGATATCTTGAAAACCAATATTTTGATCATTATTATTATTATAGCTATGCAATCTCAGTGTTTTTCCTTATTCAAGACCTATAGGACTTCTATAAAGTAACTTACATGTTTTGCTCCAAAATGTTGGTATGTAGGCATACATACATTATATGGACATATAAGTTATATATCTATTTATAGGGTTCATTTATTCCAGTTCATATCACAACCTGATTATTCAGCATTGTAGCAGTGTTTAT